AGTTTCCCCCCTCCCCCAGGGATCCTGAGAGTTTCCCCCTCCCCCAGGGATCCTGAGAGGTTCCCCCCTCCTCCAGGGATCCTGAGAGTTCCCCCTTCCCCCAGGGATCCTGAGAGGTTCCCCCCTCCCCCAGGGATCCTGAGAGTTCCCCCCTCCCCCAGGAATCCTGAGTTTCCCCCTTCCCCCGAGGGATCCGTTTCGGGGAGCCCCTTTTCTGGGCAGGTTGAAGTCTGGACGGGGTCCCCAGTGGCCAAGGGTCCCCTTCTTCCTGGTTGATTCATCCAGTCTGCGTTTTATTCTAGTTTGGTCGGTCGTGGGGCTTGAACTCGGGGCCAGGGCTCTGTTCCTTGAGTTCTTTGAGGGCTCAAGGTTTAGCCCCTCTACCCCTTTGAGCCATAGAGCCCCACTGCTGGTGTTTTCAGTGGTTCATTGGAGATAAGGGTCTCATGGACTTTCCCCGCCCGGGCTGGCTTTGAACCCCGATCCTCAGATCTCAGCCTCCTGAGTAACAAGGATTATAGGTGTGAACCATCATCACCCGACCTGTGTCTGTATGCTAGACCTTAACAGGGCAAGCAACCTCCCCCTTCTCAGTTGGTCGGGGCTGATTTACTGAGCCCCAGGTCCTTCACCCTTCTGCCACTGCCCATCCCAAACGGATGTGAAGTGTGAATTTCAGAGCAACAGGTAGCTGGATGTGCTGAGCAGAGACAGGGATGTCTCATTGGCTGGCCTTGAACTCAAAAAGTCTTTATTCCTAGGACTTCCTAGTACTGGGATTACAGGTGACTTTCAACTTAAAAGACATTTTTACCCCAGCTCAGGGTTCACTCAAGAACCCCCCACAACCTCTTCACCCTTCTCAATGTTCTGTACCTAGGGACAGTCCTAGCCATAGATTATTCTCTTCTTTCGGGGAGTTTAAGGTACTCTAGGGGCCGGGCGTTGGTGGCTCAAGCCTATAATCCTAGCTACTCTGGAGGCTGAGATCTGAGGATCGAGGTTTAAAGCCAGCCCAGGCAGGAAAGTCTGTGAGACTCTGATCTCCAATAAACCACTCAGAAAACTGGAATTGGCACTGTGGCTCAAGTGGTAGAGCACTAGCCTTAAGCTGAAGAGCTGAAGGACAGGGCCCAGGCCCAGAGTTCAAGCCCCACAACTACCATCAACAACAAAAAAAGATCTCTGGGATGAGAAGCCAGCCGGAGCCTTTCTGACCTGTTTTGAGGGAGGCTCAAGAGCAGGAAATACAGGTTCCCATCTGCCCTTAGAGACAGCGCTTTGGATAGAACTAGGAGGTCGGACCTTCCTGCGGAGTTAGCCCTTCCATCTCACACATGCCTGTAGGCTCTGATGAGCTCTTTTCTAAGGTGTAGCACTCCTTTAATTGATGGTCACTGCGCCAAAGCAGCCATCCGTCCCTTGCATCCTTCATTAACCCTACTGACGCCATTAGAGAGGGCCGCAGGCATGCCACAGCCTGCTAGTTAAGACTGTGAAGAACCTGCCAGTTCCTCTATTTGTCAAGAAGTTGGAGACACACGCATCATCTTTGGGGCGGGTGTGGTAGCATCCATTTGTAATCTCAGCATTCAGGAACACTCAGAATAAGACCCTGTCTTAAATAAGGAGATTAAAAAAGGAAAAACCCTACAACTTGTCAAGAGCTGGGCTGTTTGGATTACTATGTGCAGGTTGGTCCTAAATATGCCTTTGCTTTTGCTACATAGTCCAGGGCCATGATAAGCTTTAAGAGACCTGATGTGTGTAGTAAGTGCTATGGAAATGCTAGCTGCTATGGTTGTTAGGGTGTTTTCCCTTAGTGTTGTTTTTTTTTTAATTTCTCAAGGCTGGTGCTCTACCAGTTGAACCACACCTCTACTTCCTGGCTTGTTGGTAATTAATTGGAGGTAAGAGTCTCACTGACTTTTTTCTTGCCTGGGCTGGTTTTGAGCTGCAGTTTTCAGATCTCAGCCTCCTGATGCCCAGCATTGTTAGGGTTCTTGTTTTTATTGTGGACCTACTGTGTGCACAATCTTGTGCTGAGTGCTGGGAATACAGCTGGGACCAAGATACAGTCCTTGCCTTCAGGGTTTTATTCTAGCCAGGGTTAAGACTAGCCATAGTACTAATTCAGCAAACATGCAATACAACGTAGAGGCGGAAGGTGATAATGCAGACTGTGATAGGGAAGGCTTCTCGGAGGAGGTGATGGTTGAGACCCAGGGAAGGTAGCATGTGCAAATGTCCTGGGGCCTTAGCCTCTGCCAGTTTTCCCCTGTATGTCAGCAATGGCCTCCACTGTTCTGCTCAATCCCTGGGGCGGCTGAAGGTGAGCAGTCCAGTAGAAGCCATCACTGATACACAGAGAAAGAGCTGCTATCGAGACTGAGGCCCAGAAAAGGGAGGTGACTTTAGGGAAGTTGCACGCAAGCCGGCAGGTAGGGCTGGGCTCTTAGGCGGGAGACCCTGCTGAGCTTGCCTCTAATCCAGGCTTTCATTTTTCTGCTCTAGATTCTTGCCACCAGATAAGAACCAGGCCGGAGAGAGCCTGTGGGCGGAGGCAGGTGCCATGGTGACCGAGCAGGAGGTGGATTCGATCGGCCAGAGGCTGGTGGACCCCTTGCAGCCCCTGCAGGCCCGCTTCCGGGCGCTCTTCACGCTGCGGGGGCTCGGGGGCCCGAGTGCCATCGCCTGGATCAGCCGCGCCTTCAAGGACGATTCTGCCCTGCTCAAGCACGAGCTGGCCTACTGCCTGGGCCAGATGCAGGACACCCGCGCCATCCCTGTGCTGGTGGATGTGCTGCGAGACACCCACCAGGAGCCCATGGTGCGCCACGAGGCCGGTGAGGGACACAGGCTCTCCCGGGGGACAGCCTGGGAGAGGGGCGTCCCAGCTTTGTTAACCACAACTCCCAGCCGCCTGTCAGTGAGTGGTGTGGCTGTTTGCCAGCAAAACTTTATGTGTAACCACAGAGATTGCACATCAGGGACTCCTGATGCTCCCATTTTGTGTAGAATTAGTGTCTCTTTGTGGGGCCCTAGTTGGCCTGGAACTTGTGATCCTTCTGCTGCCACTTCCCAAGTGTTATGGCCCACAGATCTGTGCCACATCTGGGTGGATTTGGGGGTGTTTTTTTTCTTTAAAATTCGCTGTTTCATCTGGGCTCTGATAACCCATACCTGTAATCCAAGACACTCAGGAGGCTGAGATCTGGAGGATTATGGTTTGAGGCCAGCCTGGCTAGAAAAGTCCAAGACACCATCCCCAACTAACTAGCCCAAAACTGAGCTAGATGCATGGTTCAAGTGGAACAGCAGCAGTCACAACAAGCCAGCTGATCAAGTGCAAGGCCCTGAGTTCAAACCCCAGCACAACAGAAAAAAGAAAATTTGTAAAAACCACTGTTCACATTTCCATGAGTAGATGGTGGCCACAGAGATCGCCGACAGTCAGCCTTCCGCATCCCCTGACATAAACCAGTGTTCACTGCTGACAGATGCGGGCGGAGCTGGGCTCTCGTGGCACATGTCTGTAATCCCAGCTACTCAGGAGGTTGAGAATGGTAGGATTAGGTAGTTCTAGGCCAGTCCAGTCAGAAAAGTTGATGAGACTCTCTTCTCGACCCATAGCTGCAAGCAATAGAGCATGCATCTATTGCAGAGTAGTGGGAGGCTAAAATTAGGAGGCTCGCCGTGTCAGGCCAGCCCGCATGGAAAAGTCCGGGAGACTCCATCTCTCCTAGGAGGGAAGCAGGCAAACCTGCGAGTACGCAGGTCGTGGCTGAGGCCCTGGCTTGGGTAGGAATCGAGACCCTATCCTAAATACAACCAGTGAGAAACAGGGCTGAAACCATGGCTCAGCAGCATCACCAGTCACCAGCAAGTACAAGTGCAAAAGCCCTGGGTTCAAACCCCACTACCCCCCAAAGAAAGAAAACCTTGAGTGTGTGCTACCTGAACAGGCAGAGTTGCTGGGAGGGGTGACAGTTGATTGACAGCCCCAAGGAGGTTCTATTTCCTGACTCACTAACCAACCAGAGTGCTCCGGCTTGTTCTCAGGGGAGGCTCTAGGGGCCATCGGGAACCCGGAAGTCTTGGAACTCTTGAAGCAATATTCCACGGACCCTGTGGTGGAGGTAAGGAGGCCCTGGCCCCACCTCCCTCCCTGCCTTCCCCAGGCCGACCTTGTCCAGCTTTAGAACCATCTCTGGTTGCCAGGGCAACCCCTTGGCCAAGGGCACTCCAGCCGGCCAGCCTAGGGGGCCCTGGGAGCCAGCCCCCCCCTCCCATCTCCCGCCCCACCACCTCATCTCTGCCCCTGGATGTCTTCAAGCTTCCCTGTACCTTTCAGCATGTTGAAATAGCTGTAGGCCTGTACAACTAGCCATACCATCTAATTCCAGAACGTTCTCACCTCAGAAAGAATCCCTACCCCCATGAGAAGTTATTTCAGTTCTCCATCCACTTCCTGTCTCTGGACCCACCCATCCTGGATGTTTCCTGTCGATGGATACACACACACACACACCGCACACATACCACACACACACACATCACACACACACACCACGCACACACACCACACAGCCAAGGCTTGTTCATGGCTGAGAAATACTCCATGTGTGCTGACCAGGCTGTGTATCCATTTGTGGGCATTTTTGAGTTGTTTCTACCTTTTTTGGCCCTTATGAGTCAGGGTGCTGCGGGCTTGTGTGTGTGTGCGCGTGGCGTGCATGTGTGTGTGTGTGCGCGCGGCGTGCATGCATGTGCGTGCACGCATCTTTGTGTTCATTTATCCTCTGCCTTTCCTGTCTGCTTCTCCTTCCTGTCAGTCTCTCCTAGCAACCACAGACAGGTGGGCTGAAGGCACGGGTCATGCTTAAGTACTTAGGGCCTCTCATTGGGCTGGAGGACAAAATCCTAAGTGTAGGGTATACTAAGTAGGTAGGTTTCATTAGGTAGCCAACACCATGCCGTATTCAGGCAGGAAAAGAAGTTTATTTACGAACTGCTGCCCCCACTGGTGCTTGGTGGAGAAGTATGGCCAAGGGGGGACACCCCCACCGCCCCCCAGGACTAGGCAGGGGATGGGAAGAGGTGTGGCCACACTGGATCCCTAAGTGACCTCGCGGGCCTGGGACCCTCCTACAGTCAGAGGGCATGTGACCAGGGGCGGCCCGGATGTGACCTAGCAGGAGGGGGAGGTGACTGCTTCCAGGTGTGCCAGTTACCCAGGGAACAGATACTGGGTGGAAACTTAGCCCAGAGGTAGGGAGGTGTCTGCCCTGGGCCTGTGAGGCCGGGGGTAAGACCTTACACTGAGTACCCCTGCCGCTCTCCACCCCTGCCCCCCCTCCACCCCTGACCCCCGGCCCTCCACCCCTGACCCCCGGCCCTCCACCCCTGACCCCCGCCTCTCCACCCCTGACCCCCGCTCTCCACCCCTGACCTTTGCCCTGGCTGTTTCCTTTCCCCCCTCCTCACTGGGGCCCTGCCCTCCCCGTCCCTCTCTGGCCGCGTCCACCCCCGGGTCTGCGTCCTCGCTCGCTGAGCCCCCGGTGGGCGCCCGGTGCT